TAGCTAGAATCGATTGAAAAGTTTCCGAAAACAGTCACTGTATTCCTTTTGTACGATCGCATTTAAAACTGCGGTAGATTCTCTTTGGACGTCATGGATGGTGTCCTGACGGTCTCCTTTCATCGCCAACTTAACTTTTGGAACAACCAGAAATCTGCTGGAGCCAAATCTGGCGAATACGGAAGATGATCAAGGACTGTGATCTCTTTTGCGTCCAAAAAATCGCTCATGATCTTCGATTTGTGGGTTGGGGCATTATCGTGGAGGAGCGACCAGGAATCTTTCTCTCGATATTCTGGTGGAATTCGAAGAATTCTCGCCCACAAACGATTGAGGACTCCGAGATAATAATCAGAATTCACTGTTTGACTTTCTGGCAGAAATTCCTTGTGAATGATTCCTTTGGAATCGAAGAAAACGGTTAGCAGTGTCTTTACTCGACTCTTTTGCATGCATACTTTCTTTGATTTCGGCTTTTTGGGCTCAACCACGCTGCACTCTGCCGCTTTGTGGAGCTGCTGGAGCCAAATCTGGCGAATACGGAAGATGATCAAGGACTGTGATCTCTTTTGCGTCCAAAAAATCGCTCATGATCTTCGATTTGTGGGTTGGGGCATTATCGTGGAGGAGCGACCAGGAATCTTTCTCTCGATATTCTGGTGGAATTCGAAGAATTCTCGCCCACAAACGATTGAGGACTCCGAGATAATAATCAGAATTCACTGTTTGACTTTCTGGCAGAAATTCCTTGTGAATGATTCCTTTGGAATCGAAGAAAACGGTTAGCAGTGTCTTTACTCGACTCTTTTGCATGCATACTTTCTTTGATTTCGGCTTTTTGGGCTCAACCACGCTGCACTCTGCCGCTTTGTGAGAGACTCATATTGAAAACACAATGTCTTGCCACCTGTAACAATCGATTTTGCAAATTTTGTATCACTTTGGACGGACCGTAACATGTCTTTGCGGTGTTCCACTCTGGCATGTTTTTCATCGCCTGACAGCGCGTGCGGTACAAACCGCGCACAGACCTTCCGTTTGCCCAAATCCTTGGTCAAAATTTGATGCACAGTACTTTTTGGTATTCCCAAAACCTCCTCGACGAGTCTTGCAGAAACACATCTATCTGATGCAAGGATTTCGGTCACTTTTTCACATTTTCTTCAGTGCGAATTGTTCTCGGCTTTGATGCACGTGGGGCGTCTTCAATGTCCTCCCTGCCGTCACGAAATAGAGAATACCATCGAAAAAATGTTCGAGCGACTCAAAGAGTCACTACCATACGCACTTTTCATCATTTCGTACGCTTCTCCGGCTCTTTTGCCTAACTTCAAACAAAATTTGATGTTGGCTCTCTGTTCATCCGCCATTTTCCGACGAGCATCAGAACAGTACTGTTACATTCAAAGTGCGAACACATGATGCAGAGATGCTTGCGCTTTGAAATTATAGACAGCCACAGCTGAAACTTCAAGAATCTTAATGCCACAACTCGCCAAAAGATGGCATTGCATGGAAAATTAAAAAAAAATGAATCCTAACGGATCCTGGACACATCGTGTATATCTGTGATCCGATAAGGACGGATCATCAGATACATGGCAATTAATTATCAGGTTTCATATTTTATAAGTCCCTAGCGTCAAGTCGATAACCTCCTGCCTATTGCAAACCACAAAGGTAGGCTCGTTACCTTCATTTAGAATATAAAGGTATTACTTCACCAAATATTCCATGAGGAATTCTCCTCGTGGGTTGATATCATTGCTCCCCCATAAAGTGTAGTGCACGTTGGTTGTACAGGGATATGGCCTAAATATAATTAAAAATTCAGCATGACACACTTTTTAAGCTGGTAGTTACAAATATGGCCATTACTCAGATTTTTTGGTTATATCTGACAACCATCAGTTATCAGAAAAACTTGCTATTGCAACCTGTAGACGGGAATAAAATCATTAACCTATACACGTAATTATTCATTTTAAGTTGTTACTGCTGCAAATTCGGGGCACGCGGTAGCACAGTTAGCTGAGGCACTATGCTACAAGCCGGAAGGTCCCGGATTCAAGTCCCGATGAGGTCACTGGATTCTTTTTCTATTATCTAATCTTTCCATCCGCGCTATACCCCGGGGGGCGACTCAGCCTCCAACATAAATGAGTACCAGGAATATGCCTGGAATTTCCTTGGGGGTAAAGGGCGACCGACGCGTAAGGCTGACAACCTTACCGCCATCTATGAGCCGATTGTCTAGAAAATGTTGGAACCTCAACATCTCACAATCCTATGGGCCTCCAGGGCCTTTACTTTACTTTACTTTACTTTTACTGTTGCAAATTCTATACGCCATATAAACATGGAGGTAGTAGGCATGATAAAGCTTTCCCGGAATGTGACTGTTGATAATGCGAGTGAGGCCTATTTGTCTTCTTAGAAAGAATTACAGAGGTTCCGCTAAGAGCGGATGGGATGGCTCATACAGGGCAGCGAACAGACTGGAAACCCATAAATGAAGCCACGGGTCAAGGTGGTCAAGGCTATTGCGAACTACCTTGAGCCGTCTAATTTCCTGTCTATAGATCCACAATCACCTAGTCTGGAATTTTCACTGAGAATTCCTGTGTACTGTGCACCTAGAATAATCACAAACAACGGATCCTGGAAGTGTACAGCGTATCCGAACGAACAAGGTTAAGAAGAAATTGTCGCTCAGCTGACCAAGATTTTTTAAACCTTTCATGGAGCCGAAAGATTTACTACCGTATTCTGAAGGCTGGACGGGCGGGTTTCGATTCTCGGCAGGGGAAAGTGAGTTTCTGTGATTCATAGGGCCAACTCAGCCTCCTTCCCAGGAAGAAAACCTGCCGGGACTTGGAGCTAACCACTCACTTCCATCTAGTGGCCAGGTCAAGGTTCGTGGAGCTATACTTCCACTCCCCCATGTGTCTACATGGACTAGTGTTTAATTAATTAAGTACATGAACAGCTTTACCTTTTCCTTTATTCTGAGCCAGTGGAATGCAGTCCAATCCGTTTTTCCCTTCATTTGGATCGTGCCAAATAAGAGTTCCGCGACGATGCCGTCGATATGAAGAAGTGCTATCCCTGCATTTGCCCGTGGTTATATGTCAGATTGTGAACTGAGTAATAATAAACGTTACATCAGTAAGTTTACAATTTCATGGCCCCTTCATTATTGCCACTGATAATAGTTACAATATCATTAAATGTGCCCGATACGTTATCAAAATGTTCCACAGCAGCTGCGCACGTGATTTGTAACGAACTTCCTAACTAACTAATTAGCAGTTAATCATCTCGGTGGGGCAGGGTAATTCTTGAGAAGCTAACAGTCGCTTAGAAAGTCAAGAAATTCCTTGCTTGTTATAAAACTCGAATTTTCATTAACGTCTTCACAGGAGCCCGTTACTAATCCCTATCCTAATACTGGGAATCCTTAACTGGACTCAGGCAAGCAAAGGGACTCATACGAGGATCTTCTGCTAAAAGAGCGAAGGAACTGTTGGAGCTCAACAGGAACCAGCTACGATGGATGGTAGGTCTACTTACAGGACACTGTCACCTCAAAGGACACCTGTTCAAACTGGGAATGAGGGATAGTCCCACTTGTGAGAGGTGTCAGATAGAAGATGAAACAGCCACACATGTCCTGTGTGAATGTAAGGCATTAGCTTATTTAAGATTACGTCACTTGGGCCAGTATTTCATGGAACCAAGTGACTATTTTGACCCTCCCACGTCCAAAATCCTGCGCTTCATCCGAAGCGTGGGGTTGCTGAGGGAATAATTAAAAAAGGGGAAGCACAATAGACCTAAGGTCGCGGTGCAAGGGTCGAGAAGGCCTACCCCTCATATATTCTATTCTATTTTATTCTGATCCAAATCCTAAGCCAGATTAATCCATTTCGCTTTCTGACACACTAATTTCCTTAAAACTCAATGTAATATTTTCCTCTCCATTTTCGAAGTTCTACAACTAAAATATTTTTAGACAGTTAAGAATTCACATAAAAATTTGTAGGTACTTTTACGACCCACCTCCACGTAGTACTTCCTATGTTTAGATTTAGTAGTCCTTGGCTATTATCTTCATGACGGAAGTTAAACATAGCTTCACTGACCACCATCTTGTTTTATAGGTTACAAAAAAATCGTGTATTAACAAAAGTCGCACATCTTTCGAAGATCGATTACCACACAAAATGTCTTGACCTTACTCTAGTTCTTCGGTTGATGCTCTCTAACCTAAAGTTCTCACGACCATCACATGCCTGTTGCTGTGGAAAAGAAGGGGTCAATCTCTGGTTAAGTGATATTTGTGCCAAGTTTCATATATGTTTATTTAATGACGCTGTCAGTAGCTCAGATTATGTAGCGTTAAATAACAGAGTGACTTGGATAATGAACTAGAGAGAATGTGGGAGAATTTGACCGTAATTCAGTTTGACGCATTATCCCAGCTCATGCCTGGAAGGACTGAAGAAAACCACCAACAACCTCAGTAAGGATAGTCAGAGATCCGAGCGAGATTCGAACAGGGACCCCCCCCACCACCACCACCACCACCACCAATAGAAGTCAGAAGTTTTGCCGTTTGAAGCAACTTGCCATTTTAAATCAATTATGAAGGATTCTGACGATGACCGAGTGTCTGAAGCTTCTCTGTGTTTAGTGTTCTAAAAGAACACAACCTTTCGAAATCTGAGCCCATTTCCTCCTCAGGTGAAAGGATGGAGAGGAACCTACTCACTTGGGTCCGTTAGATTACGTATAGCGCACCAAACCGAGTAGCCCCCCCCCCATTCACCAGTTTCGCAAACGTTGTTTTCTCAATTCCAATTCTAAAATCTGTTAAGTTCTATGAACATCCGTCAGATTGTTTATTATGCGGGTAGAAAGAAAAGGGATGTGATAAGGAGCCCATGGTTCCATGTCTGTACGAGGAGGACTTGTAGACACGTGTGTTTATGTTTCAGAACCTCTACCGATGAAACTGCGGGCTCTGCCCCAGTCATTCTGGCAGCAGCCGAACCACACAAATTCTCTGTCGCCTGGTGCTGTGTACCCAGTTCTGCCCCCGCTGTCCTCGTTCGGCGCTGCCAAAGACGAAGTGGAGAGCCTAGCTGCAGGTAATATCAGGAGACTGTACACTTCGCTTCAAATGTCTGGTAGTGGTCAGTGAACTTGGATTGCGCTGGAGACTTCGTGAAATCTGCTCTCACACAGTTTCGAGGGCTCGGATTTCTGATGCTGAGAACGAGAGAGGTCGCGTGATGATTCCAGCAACCTTTAGTGGCGAATAGATTTTAATGTAGAGTAGTGTACTGTGTACACCAACACTGTGGTACAATAATCCGCTAATACCAAAGCCCTCCATTGGAAGCGATTCTGAGCCGGTTTCATGCACCGCTCATCCTTACAACATAAAATGCATTTAAAATTATTAAACTGCTATATAAGTCTTTGCAAAGAATGTGTCAGTTTTTGAGGCCTGTATAAATTTTCTGATATCGGTGCATTAAAGAGTGAAAGGGTTATTAAAACTTAGGACCATACAGCAAAGTAGAAGTTTGCCTTTATTCGAATATGCGCTACAGAATACGTATTCTCTGCAGCAATGTGGGCAAATTAAGACAACTAAAGATAGACACATCGACGGTACCACACTAAATTCCTGAGGAAAACGCAGTAATAATTTCAACAGTTCTTGAACTCAGCGACTTCCTGCTTCAAGTACTGGCGAAATGACTCGATAACTCTTACATACTTAGAATGTATGGTTCTCTGAAATCAGTACGTCAAATTACTGATTTTTACTTGCTTAAATTCGCAGACAAGTCGTATTTGATGTATTATACAATTAGCTGTTTTGCGAAATTTGCTGTCCACCCTATCGATAAATAAGCAGATAACGTTTGAGAAGCGTTTGCTTGAGAGAAGCACCAACACCTGTAGGCTAATATAAAACCAAAAGAGGAACACTGAATAATTTAGGAAGTGAGCGACGGGTTGTAAGTTACATCACATGACACTAAATCCGTCCATGTTGCTCTTTGTACAATGTGAATCTGTTTATTCTTGTTCCAATATCGTAACCATAAGATATTTAAAATATCAAACTAGTTTCATGGAACTGAGCCAGTTGTGCAGCTACTCGAAAGGTGTAACATCCTAGAGGAATGATAAAATAACATCTGCACACACAGTGGCAATGGTTCCTCGCCATTTGGGGCTGACACTGGTAAACAGTAAACTGCAACATGTCAGATGACGGGATTGGCACTGAATGTGTGTGGAGCCATGACAGGTCAGACAGTAATGTAACAGGCTGTAAACTGGACCGATCAAATTTGATTACCAATAGAGGAACTATGATCCATCTTTTTATTTCCCTATCCATGCTGTCACCATGGCCAGGCCAGTGTCATTCCTGCACAGTAGTTTCAGGGGCTCGAGTGTGATGCGGTGGCACCAATTCAGTTGAATGCCTTCATGGTACAATAAATGAGAAAAAGCTGTCCCTGTAACAGGCCATGAAGGCCCATAGGGTTATGAGATATCAAGGCTCCCACATTTTCTTTAGACAACTGGCTCGAAGATGGCGGTAAGGTTGTCAGCTTTATGCGCTGGCTGGCCGCACCTTTATCCCCCAGGAAGATTCCTGGTACTCATTTCCGTTAGAAGCTGGGTCAACCCTGGGCCATAGTGAAGCTGGAAGGATTAGGTCAATTGAAAACATCGGCCTCATCGGGAATCAAACCCATGACCTCCTGGCTTGTAGCATAGTGCCCCAACGACAGAGCTCTATATTCTTTAGTTATCATAAATGCTTCAATAAAATTTCCCAAGTGATGGCTGTTCCTGCAGCGAATGCTGCACAATAAGAAACAGACGCATGCAAAAATTAAAAAAAAAACCAGCAGAAATATGATTCATAATATCTGTAAATGGATGTACAAAACTGGGTAAAATTAGGAATGAAAATATAAAGGAAGAATGAGGGGTGTTCTCATTGAATAACAGGATAAGGAGATACAAACAAATTTGGGTTTAAGTTGCGGAAAGGATGGAAGGAGGATGAGTGCTGAAGCAGACTATTTGGTAAAGGCCCAGAACAAGAAAGGTTCTGGTAGACCACGCAGAAGCTGGAACAGGCCATTTGCCTAGTCCTTCAATTGGAGGAAAAGATTGGCTGAATAAAAAATTTGACACATTCTGATGTAACAGATATTCTATATTAACAGTCTAAAAAATTTCAGCTCAATTCTTATGAGTTTTGTAAAGAATTAGATAATAATTCAAATAACAGCCATTCCAATGTTCACAAGAGCTCTACACTAGTCCCTAACATGAACCAGATCAATCTATGAAGAAAGCAGTCTTCTGGGATTTGGCACCGTGTATATGTGGTGTTAACCGACGTTTCGGAGGAACGTATCGCCTACATCTTCAGGGTAGAATGAAAAAATATAAGAAATCCGCAAGCAAAGAGACCGTGAGAACCGGTAAAACGATACGTTCCTCCGAAACGTCGGTTAACACCACATATACACGGTGCCAAATCCCAGAAGACTGCTTTCTTCATAGTCACCGCTGTGAAAACCTCAAATCTTACACAGGTCAAGGTAATTCATGCCACTCCATACTATCTCTCTAAGTTCCACCCACCTACATCTTGGTTTTCCTGGTGTTCTCTTTCTTTGTGGCTTTTCCACCAATATTCCCTATGCAATCCTCTTCTCCCGAATTATTGTCACATGCTCTGCCCATCCCATCCTCCTTGATTTAATCATTAAAATATCAAGGAAATATTAATTTAAAACTAAACAAACTGCAAAATAATTGAGTAACAGAAATATTCTTGGCGCTGTGAACATATGTGCTGTAACTTAGTATTTGCAAGTCCATCACTTGAGGCCTGTAGCGAATTAAACATCATTTTTCAGTGTACTGAAAAAACTGGCCCCAATTGTGAAAAAAAAAAATCTCGAAGCTACGAATGCCTACCTCTCACAGTTCGATCTTTCAAGTATGTGGGTTGTTCCCTGCACAACTTCTTTGATTTCAATCGGCCACCTTCTCAACTGCTGTGTACATCGTTGGTAATTGTTGCACCTTTTTCTCATGCTTTGTAACGTTGTTATGAATTGTTATATAGTTGTGTAGCATCAGCAAATGTTGCTTCATTTCTTTCCAATGATAATTTCATATATGCCGCTCTTCTATTCTTCTGTAATCATTCTTGGTATTAATGTAACTTTATTTACTAGCATTAGTCGAAGCTGCTTATAAACTGCTTGCATTACAATCCAGTCTATGATGGATCTCGAGAATTAATTTCTTGCATGAAACTACAAATGACAGAGAACCATCAATCAAATCAGCAGTTGGCCTATGCTGATGTTGTAAATCTACTGGGTAATAATATAAATATCATTAAAAAAACACACAAACTTTAATTGACGCAAATAAGGAGGCTGCTCTAGAAGTAAACACAGAGAAAACTAAGTTATGTCTCGTCACCAAAATGCAGGGCAAAATCATGACATAAAGATAGGAAACAGATGTTTTAAAATGTGGCACGGTTCAGATATTTGGGAACAGCAATAGCAAATAAAAACCTGATTCAGGAAGAAATTAAGAGGAGATTGAACTCCGGTAATTCTTGCTACCATTCAGATCAGAACCTTCTGTCTTTTCGTCTGCTGTCCAAAAACATAAAAATTAGAATCTACAAAACTATAATTTTTCCTGCGGTTCTGTATGGGTGTGAAAATTGGTCTCTGGCATTAAGAGAGGAAGATAGACTTAGGGTGTTTGAAAACAGGGTTTTGTGGAAAATATTTGGACCGAAGAGGGATGAAGTGACAGGAGGTTGGAGAAAACTGCATAATGAGGAGCTTCATAACTTGTACTGTTCTCGAAGTATAATTACAATAAACAAGTCAAGGATGATGAGGTGGGCAGGGCCTGTAGTACGAATGGGGAGACGATGAATGCATTTAGGATATTGTGGGAAAGCCAGAAGGAAAAAACCACTGGGAAGACCAAGCTGATCGGTCAGCTCTTGATTCAATATGGGTGGCTCCCACGCCGTTTTCATTCCTCATAGTTAGATGGAAGCACATGTTTTTTTTTCTGTCTTTGTCACTGAACTCGCTACGAAATAATTTGAAATAGTTACTAGGAGGCAGCGAGAAATTATTGCAAAATTGCAACAAAGCAGAAGTATCACACTTCACTTTTCTTTGTCACCAGTCATCAAAATAACATGAATTTTTAAAGTCATAAAGACAGTAAATTAGAGGTTATGTGCACTGCAACTTCTGTTGTCTCGAAGTTCTAACTAATGTCTACAACTTTCCTTGAGGCCGTACATATTACTGAGCAGTTTAAAATCTGCTTGATCAGTCTCCATCTAACGCCGAGATTAAGAATTGTAGAGATATACCTCCACTCACCCATACATCTTCATGGTGTCATGCTTAAATAATTAAGCCTAGGAATAACTTTATCTTTTATACTTGCAGTTCTATAGCCACCCACAAGATGAACACCATTTTATGTAAAATGACATAAAGGAATATACCTTTCTTATGTTTCCTTCCGACGAATTTCGCCATCCTTTTTTAATAAACTGCCACAGGCCATCAGGCAAGAGAAGCATAAATGTACTAGCGAGATCGCGCCGAAGGAATAATAACACAGCTGCATATAAAAATGATTATTGTGAGTCATCTATGATACACGCGTTGAGATTTCTTTAATTTAGTCAAATAATAATAATAACAATAGGCATAAAAATCTATTATCCACGCCTCCTGATATAGGCTGTTTCTAAGGCAACATCAAAAGTTAATATTTACATTGAAAATATAGAAAAAGCAATAGAACGAACGTGCCAGAACTGTTACGCTGTCTTGTCACGTGAGTGTTCAGGCTTCGATTTATGCCACTGGCTTGTCTAGAAAGTCCTACCCACTGTCTAGAACAAGGGTCTCCAAACTATGGCCCGCGGGCCACATCCGACCCGCGAAATAATTGTGCAGAAATGCGCCAATTGAACTAATATTCCAATTAGAACTAGTAAAAAAAATTCTTGTTCATAGATTTTAAATTCATTAATTTA